AATGTTCAGTTGATCAGTTATGGATCGACAGGTCTTTCAAGGAAATGTGTAGCGTGTTATTTAAAAAGGAAGGAAATGTACCCGTAAAATTTTGCATTCTTCAACTCTTGGTTAAATTTTCAGTCAACCCCCACTGCTTCATATCGACCTTTGCGACACTGCGTCAAATTTTCTTCATCTGAGCATTCGCATTTCTAAACAGTGTTACTTTGTCCGTGTCTTCAAACCAGCCAAACATTATGCTCCATACGAAAGAACGTCTAATCCCTGCTCTGAATTTATATTTTAGCGTGATAAGGAGCAAAAGTCCGTCTATCAGGGGCAACTCAACTGCGCAACAGAGAATTTACTAAACATGAAATCAACAAAGGAAGAATAATGGCATGGAGCACATTAGAATGACAGAAAATGTTTTAATCCGGGAAATTATCTCTGTGCCCGAAACGGAAAGTTTTTGATCAGTTTGTTTTCCATCGTTAACCCACGGAGGCGAAACGTAAGCCTTATGCATGAAAACTAGTGATAAACTGCATACTACCAAACGCAGCATGGAAGGACGTATGTTCGAAATATGTTGTACAAAAAGACTGCGATATCACCACTCGAGTGAAGATGATTGTAACAAAGAAGTTAAACTGGGTTCCAAAAGAAACGGCCCATACTCAGGTCTTCAAATCGATGATAGACTGAGCTGAAGAAGTTTGCTGGATCATTGTAGATAAAATGGCAGGAAACGGAAGTCCGGTAGTGAAGTCTTGCATTCATCCAGCGGTAGATCGAAAACGGTTGATGATGATGACGAATTTAATGTAATGGGCAAGTTACCATGACGCCGCAAGCGAATCACCTTCCTCCGTTATATTCACACCTTTTCCAGCAGTCTTTTTAAATCGTAGTCGATTTCTCAGTTGTTTTGCACCATGGAACAGATATTCGAACGCTGAATAAATAAACAGTTTCTACAGGTCAGTATGTCCTATTTGATCTTGCATAATCATGTTATACTTTCAGTGCCTAGAGATGAAAGACTGCCTTTTCGGTATCAGTGCTGAAATACTTACTCGTGTTTTCTTCATTGTCAAGCAGTTTTCTCATTGTTGACCTGATAGGCTGAACTTCCGTCAGAGTTTGACCGCATTTTGCAAAGTACTGACGAAACCACTTATGCGGACAGATCGGTTTTGTGGGATCCACCAGTACCACCTGAAAAATCACCTGGAACCTGAAAGCTTAAACAGCCTTACGACAAATGGTCCAGCTATGACAGTTTTCAGCCTCAGAGGGAATCACGAAGTCAAATGACAATGAATAGGGATAAGATGCATAGAAGGAAACAGCAACTTGGTGTTGCACCATTACACCATGACCAAAACGATAAGCGCAAACACGACAATGAACAGTTAAGCGTTGGGGCAGTACCGTCTACCAGCAAAGCAGTACCATCCAAGAAACTGTTTACAACGAGACGTTAGCGTCAGTTCCATCACAAACAGTGCATAAAACACCATGGATCGTCTGTCGCCAGAAGTACTTGTGTATCTGTGCAGTGATACAGGGGTAAAAAAATGCAGTCACTTCAGCATGCCAGCTTAGTACTGAGTAACAGTGTCCGCTTAAACCGAGATCGGTACCAAGTAGACCGGCTTCAGCTTTGCCGCGCTGTACTGAAGGATTTTTGGGAATACCGCGGTGACCATGCACCCAATAGAAGATCTGCTTTTTTGCTGAAATTTGTCTTTCTCAATTTTAAACATGATTAAGAGTCGGCATACCATCTGAATATTGATTAAAATGACGATTATACTCGCGCATTAAACTTTCAAATCACGGACATCAACCTTCCTATAATTTATGTTCACTTCCTTAATAACTGTAAGATTTTGTATGTTGCCTGCCGCTGTCTGCAAATCAAACTTTTCGTATTTTCGTAGACTTCAAATGATTCGCGGTTTGTATGTATGAATGCTGATGAAGGAGTTCCAATAAAAATAATAGAAGCTTAATAGTCCGATGAAGTTAACAGTTATATTTATTATTAATTTTCGGTTTGCGACCGTTAGCCATATTTTTATTGTCCCTAAACGTAGCAACGAGGTAGTTTTGCCAACTTTGCCAGAACTACACATACGGATAAAATAGTCTCTTGACTTTTGTGTTCCTGTTGCGGTGCAACTTGCGGGTTGCAGCTTCATGAGGTTTTTTCTCACGGTTCCGGTCGTTGGCCAGTGGCGCTTTTCAGGTGATAGCTACGTGGCTCCGTTTTGTGATTCTGGTGTGCTGTTGATCACATACAAATTTTCACCTTTGTGATCTGTGGTTGAAGAGGGATTCATTCACAATTATTTCATTGTATCCGGGCTTGAAACCCCCTTCTCTCTCTGTAAGTGTCTAACATCGTGACGCGTTTCTCGGTCGGTCACGATTGTAGAGCCATATATACATATATACATATTTGACCGGCTGTTTGATAGGCATTCCCCCTCCGGATGGGCTGTAACGTTGCTGTGTGTTTCCTCGAAGCGTGACGCGCTGTACATGAGCTGCGGCTAAAATCTGTGATGCTCAGCGCAAAAAGTTTACGTAAATGGTCTAGGGCCATCTCCGCTTTTGTCACGCGGCGAATGCGTTCATTACACGCCTACTCCTTCTTTACATTTAGGTATCAGCCTCGTCAGATCGGTGACCATGGAAAAATGTAACCAGCCTCGCAAACGGTTGTGTACGATTGCAGCAAAATCCAATACGACGACGAATCAGCAATCAGCGATTTCTTCTTCGTCCGAAATGGGGACAGACGCTGAAGACCAAGATGCAGTTCTGACCATAGCCGGTATAGCTTAAGTGTCGCTTAGTGCGGAAATACAACCAGATAAACATGTTGTTCATCATTTCGCTGTGTATCATCGTATGATTTTCTCGGCAAGTTTATTGGACCGTGAGTGAGTGAAAGAATGAGTAAATGAGCATCCGCGTCAGTTGAAAAGAAGGTACATAAGCAGCTAATTACGTAAGTTGTTATTCATTTACTAATTTAGCAAGCAAATAACTGCGTAAGAAGATGAGTATATGCCTAATGTAGGAAGGAAGTCTTCAAGTAAATGACTTCATAAGAAAGTATAAACGTCAAAATATGTTCGTACGCAGAAGTATATCAAATAACACATAACTCCTCAAAGGCAAAATTTATTGCAGCAATTAATTGTTCCTACTTGCCCGGGAGGGCGTTTAAGCTGACCATCGCTCCAAGGAGTTTGAGTACCTACAGTGCCAGTTACATCTCAATTTTGTTCGCTAGATCCACCCTATGGTCACTACAAACGATGTTTCAGGAGTTGGCACTCCTCATATGCTAGATGGTAAGGTATATTTCACGAAATTTGCAAGACATATTGGTATGTAAGCAGTTTCATTAAAGCATGTAATTAAGTAGGAAAGTGGTTCTATATGTAGGAAAGTGAGCAACTATGTTGGTAAGCGAAGCAAGTAAATCAGTAAGTTTGTAAATGCCTGTTTAAATAAATAACATGTTGGTACATAAGCACTGATAAGAAAAGAAAATAGGCGGGTCTAGTAACGAAGTAAGTAGTTCAAGCAGCAAATAAGTAACCAGGTAGTTAGAAGGTTTGTACTTAAGTAAGTTATAAGTTGTTAAGTATATCGACAAGTACTAAATATGTTTTCATATTTGAGACGTTGGATAGCTACGAAGTTGTTGTTGTTTGTCATCTTCATCTGAGGTGCGGTGGGCTTAACACCTTCGCTTGTGCTAGGTTAATGAAGTTCGACATGCAGGACGTGATTCCGTTTAGCAAGGAATTAGATAACTAAGTAAAGTAATACTTTCAAGCAAGTAGCCAAATAGGGTTTGTACGCATATATGTAAAGCCTAGTATGTGTATAAGTTAGTCGCTCGCTAAGTAAGGGATAAGATGGCAAAGTACGTAAGTGAATAGTTAGTTGGTGAACGCTTAGTCGAGGAAGCATGTAGCTAGTAAAGTATTCATGCTGCAAAGAAATGAGTGAAAAAGTAAATCTATACATATTCATGATGGAATGTAAACTGAAAGTATGGAAGTATTGCTTGGACCATTCACAAAACATTCTGTTTTTCAGCGAACACCAAAATAGTAAATAAGTAAATGTATCATTAAGTAAAATTGGGTAAAATAATTTTGCTAATTGATGTAGCTCTATTCAGAATTAGTGAAAAGAAACGTTTGTTTGATTAGAGGCTTAACAACTTAACAACACAGTGTTGCACTCCATTATCAATTTTCGCCAAATTTAGTAAAATTCACAATTGAAAGAGCGTGGTTGATTAGTCCAACTGAATTTTAAACGATGAATACGAAACTTAGGTATTGTACGGGGATAAAAACGGTACGTTTCGACTGCTGAAATATATGGCATATGGTAATTTATTTACTGTTTTGATAATAGTGTCTTCCGGTATATGATAATTTCCTTAGGCCTTCAACCCTGCTCCTTTTTTCGCCCAATTTTGAGACCAGTCTTTTCGGAGTTTACGATATATACAATGTCGTAAGCTAAGCAGTAGCAGCGCATGACTTTAGCTTAGACCTTAAAGTTAAAACAAACGACTTTTCAGTCCCACACGGGGACTTTGCGGAATGACGGTGTAAACTTTATGCTTGTAGCTTTGCCTGATAGAAGCTGGACTTTCTTGGGCTATTAGAGACTTCTCTGAGGGCGCACCTACCAAATTTGGGTACTGCATAGCTGTTCAGCCGAGGGCGACAGTTGCAGCATTCGTCGTTAGACGAAAATTGCTATCCGTTCCTGAACCATAAATACTCCGATTTTCATTGGTCTCATGACTGATCGTAATCTCACGTGTACAATTCCAGCCGGGCATCCGAACTGAACTCACTGACTGTTGCTGTCATGCGGAGGTTTATAGTACTCTAGAAAGAGTTTCTGGCACATAAATTTCAGGTTATTCGGTTCTTGAACTAGCATTTTCTTTCATTCTTAATTTGATCCTTATTCAGTTCTTTTTATCCTCAGTAGAGTTATCCATGCAATTTTCGCAAGAAGTCGAACGGAAAATATTTAGAGCTGGAGGCTGCCGCGGTTCGAAGTCGTTTACCTCACGCCAGCCTGTCAAAGGTAGAACAAGATGTATTCAAGGAAATCGGCGCTGTCGTCTCTCCTCTGCAGTCACGTTACTTATTTCTGCGGAACAGCGTCGTAATCAAGATTTATTATTTTTTTAAGCGAGTACTAAACATCCATTATTGCAGCTAGCGTTGTGGTTGCGAAAACCGGACGAAAAGTTAATTTTTAACACTTGTATCACGTCAATCCAGGATGGCACGAGTGAGTGCGCTTTTCTTTCATTGTGTCGTACTACTTTACACGACCATTATTTTAGAGGATGCAAATCTCATACGTCGGATACATAGATTTCTGGAGCGATACGGGTATATCAATTTCGGAATCTACACGAGCATGACGTTTGCGCGTAAGCTGATTTCGAATTCTTTGATATTCGTTCAGCAGGCCGGTAGTAAAGTTTTGTTTTTCAGCGAAGATGAACCGACGAATTATCGTCATCGGGGCTGGTATCGCCGGACTGATTGCGGCGCGGCAGATGGATACGTTTGGTTTCGACGTCACAGTATTGGAAGCCAGGGTAATTTCAGACGTGTGTCTGGTGACGTCTGAACCTTAATGACGTAATCGTCATGGCATCTCCTTGCGCAGCGGAACCGCTGCCTATAGATGTTTTTCATCTCACCGAAGTATCCTGATCGATGAAACGTTTGCTGATAGTGTTTCGCGCGTGCTGCAGCAGTCATCCCCCGAGTAAAATGATATTTCACACGCAGTACAGAAACTCACTGTGTGCTGTACAGACCTACAACTCTGATGGAGAGATTCTGTGCGATGATCAAATTGTCCAACGCTTTAAAAAAAGTACTGCATTTAGTACACAGATGCTGTTCGCAAAGATGTGCAGTGATTCGTTGTTTATGAATTTGATATTATCTCCTTCGCCATTAATCAGTGACACTTTACTGTCAGCAGTTCATGAAAATAGCCCAAAGCATGCACAGCGAAGCCGGAACGTTCATAGGATTTTGTCCGCGATAGCAGTGCTGTGCTCAGCAACCCGCTCAACAGCTCAAGTGTTAAATGTCTTCCCAATGTAAACAGTTATCTTTATTACGACTGAAATACAAGGCAACATTACCAGATATACTACATTAAACATAACAATACCGGATTGAAACGGCGAAGGAATGGTGTAAAAAGAAGAGAAATACATTTCTCACTTTACATCAGCAACTCTGTTGCACCGTCTTCTTGTATCTAGACGCCCAGGGAGACCGTATAAGTAGGCCACGGCTCCATGGTATTTAAGCTGTAAAGGACGCAGGACAGCTTCTCAGACATGAGTTGAACAAAAGTATGTTCAACCAATGAACATTGTGACGATCCGTAGGTGAAAGATTGCCAGATATATTAACGATATTTATATCCATTGTGACGCACAAAACCAAAGTTGGGATTTCATGAGAAATCAGTTTTTGAAATTTCATTTCAGTCTCACTCTATGATATTAGTGATACGAACGTC